AACTGCCCTCCCTGCTGGCCTGGTCACCCCACTCAGCCTGCTGTTCAGTTGTTTGGTCGTCCCTCACTAACCCCCCTGCCGGCCTGGTCACCCCACGCAGCCTGTGTTTGATCATCTGTCTGGTTTTTTCGGTTGTGACAGCCCCTGGCTTTTTATATATTAGGATGTTACCCCAATATATTTAATTAAAAAAAAAAAACAGAAAGAAAGAAAACCTATTTGAAGAAATGACAGAAAATTTCCCTGGCTCAGGAAATAGACAAGCCCAGGAAGTACAGAGTTCTAAATTTGATGAATCCAATAAGGCCCACACTAAGTTTCTCAACAGAAACTTTGCAGACCAGAAGGGACTGGCAGGAAATATTCAAAGTGATGAAGAGCAAGAACCTACAACCAAGATTACTCTATCCAGCAAGGCTATTTTTAGACAAGATAAAGCTAAAGAACTTAATGAACAAATGAACATCAAAACAGTTTTACAAGAAATGTTAAAGGGACTTCTTTAAAAAGAAGAAAATATCAAAAATATGAATAATAAAATGGCAATAATTACATATCTCTCAATAATTACTTCAAATGTAAATTAATTAAATGCTCCAATTAAAAGACAGAGTGACTGAATGGATAAGAAAACAAGACCTTACATATGCTGTATACAAGAGACTCACTTCAGATTTAAAAACATACATAGACTGAAAGTAAAGATATTTCATGAAAATGGGGGGAAAAAGCTGGAGTAGCAATACTTATACCAGAAAAAATAGACTTTAAAATAAGAAACAAAGAAGGACCCAGTAATTCCATATCTGGGCATTTATCTGAAAAAAAAAACAAAACAAAATAGAATTCAAAAAAACATATGCATCCATATGTTCATTGCAGCATGATTTACAATAGCCAGTATATGGAAGCAACCTAGGTGTCCATCAATAGATGAATGGATAATGAAGATGTAATAGCTATTTATAATAAACTATTACTCAGCCATAAAAAAAGAATGAAATCTTGCCAACTGCAATGACAAAGATGGAACTAGAGCAGTGATGGTGAACCTATGACACGCGTGTCAGAGGTGACACGCAAACTCATTTTTTTGGTTGATTTTTCTTTGTTAAATGGCATTTAAATATATAAAATAAATATCAAAATATAAATCTTTGTTTTACTATGGTTGCAAATATCAAAAAATTTCTATATGTGTCACGGCACCAGAGTTAAGTTAGGGTTTTTCAAAATGCTGACACGCTGAGCTCAAAAGGTTCGCCATCACTGAACTAGAGAGTACTGTGCTGCGTAAAATAAGTCAGACAGAGAAAGTCAAATGTTGTATGATTCCATTTGTGTGTGGAATCTAAAACAAAACAATGAAACAAACAAAACAGAAAAAAATCATATATACAAAAAACAGTTTCACAGTTGCCAGATGGGATGGGAGTTAGGTGACTGGATGAAAAGGTAAAGGAATAAAGGAGTATAAATTGGTAGTAAAAAGATTGTCATGGAGATGTAAAGTATATCATAGGGGATATAGTCAATAGTACTGTAATAACTATGTATGGTGTTGGATACTAGATTTATCAGAGTGGTCATTTAGAAAGTTATATAAATATCTAATCACTGTGCTATACACCTGAAACTAATATAATATTGTATGTAAATTATAATTGAAAAATAAAAAATTATTTTAAAAATACTTTCATATGTCATCTTTCATAGATACTGACAATTTATTGCACCAATTTATATTCCTACCAACAACATATAAAAGTTCCACTTGTTCCATATCTTTGTCAATACTTGGTATTTTCAACCTTTTCATTTTGTGGGTGTACAGTGGGTCTCATTGTAGTTTTAATTTGCATTTCCCTGATAACTAAGAATGTTGAGCACTTTTTCATATGCTTATTAGTCAATTGGATATTCTCTATGGTGAAATTTGCATTTTTCTTATATATTTATAGTAGTTTTAAATATATTCCGCTTATGACTCACTTGTTGATTATATGCATGATAGGAGATCTTCTCCCAGTCTGTGGATTGACAGTTCATTTACCTAACAATGTATTCAGATGAACAGAAGTTCCTAGTTCAAATGTCATATAATTTCTGGGGAACTCTTCCTTTAGAAGGTTTCTTGACCCTCCCAGTTGGCCTGGTAGCCTCATGCAACTCTATCTAATGTTAGAGAAGAGTATTTGTGCCCACTTTTTTTTTTATCAGGAGTACAGACCTTCCTCGGAAGTCATAGCCAACTTTTCTTACATTTTAATGACAAATCAGGCCACATCTTGACCCCTAGCAGCAAGGGAGTCTAGAAAAGTGGACATCTCTTTTGTTCCTGCCTCTGTATTTTGAGGATGAAAAGGGGAAGGGGCGCTGGAAGTAGCTGTTAGGTGGCCTAGCAGAAAGGAACTGAAAGAGGCTTCCTGCTGTTACCAGCAAGTGGAAGGCACATTGTGTGCCCCTCCTCCCCCATTGAAATGTGTTGATTATATGTAATGTTGAGCTGTTAAGTATAATTCTACTGAAATCACATCATGAAACTTGAGATTTTATTATGGGTTTTTGATAAAAGAGAAGTGGGTGTGAAAATATCTCCATATGGAATCCCCATATGTACATATGTTTTAATGTAAGTTTTCATGTACAGGCATTTTTAATATGAAAAAATACATGCTGAACCACTTAATGCTGGTCATCTTAGGAGGATCAGACTTGAGGAGGGCTGCTTTAAAATTTTCCTTTTATACGTCTAAACTCCATTTCCTTTGTATTTTTACTAGAGGCCCGGTGCACGGATTCATGCACCAGTGGGGTCCCTCGGGCTGGCCTGCGCCCTCTCACAATCTGGGACCCCTCGGGGGATGTTGGATAGTAGGTTTCGACCTGATCCCCGCAGGCCCAATCCAGACAGAAGGGAGCCCGATTCTGTGCATTGAGTGTCTGTTCCCTGGTGGTCAGTGTGTGTCATAGCGATCAGTTGACCGGTCATCCAGTTGCTTAGGCTTTTATATATATAGATAATTTGAAAAATATTGTAACAATCTCTTTATCTATTTGAGTCATGGAGTCAAATCCCATTTACCAGGGATGAAATCCCTTGGCTCATCATCATTAGTTTAACAATACCTGCATTTCTAAAATGACCTACTGTGGAAAAGGCTGGAAACCTATACAATTGGCTGGATTTGTGGAGTGGACAAACCACACGGGAGGTGCCTTTAGATTGCATAAATTGTCACCAAATACTTCCTACACAAAGTTAAATAAGTCACTTATGGGCTGAATTGTGTCCCCTCAAAATGCACATGTTAATGTCCTAACTCCTGGCACCTCAGACTGTGACTCTATTTGAAGGAAGGGTCTTTATAGAGGTTATTAGGCGGGCCCTAATCCAATCTGGCTGATGCCCTTAATAGAAGACGAGGTTAGGAGACAGGTGCACAGAGGGACGGCCATGTGAGGACACTGAGCGAAGACAGCCGCCTACAAGCCAAGAGAGGGGCCTCAGGAGAAATCAACCCTGCCCACACCTTGATCGAAGACTTCCACTCCAGGACTGTGAGACAATCAATTTCTATTGTTTAAGCCACTCAGTCTGTGGAACTTCGTTATAGCATTCTTAGCCAACTAATAGTCACCCAATACTCATATATGGCATATCTTCATTCTTTATGGAGGTATAATGGACAAAATAGCAATATATTATAAGTATACAATGTGATGCTTTGATATAGGCATACATTGTAAAAGGATTCCTATCATTAAATTATATAACACATTCATCCATCACCTCACGGTTACCCCTTTTTCATGTGTGTGAGAACCCTTCAGTTCTACTCTCTTAGCAAATTTCCTTTATACAATAGAGTATTATCAACTTTACGTTAGACCCTCAGACCTTATTCATCTTAGAGCTGAAAGTTTGTACCAGCCTCTCCCTGGGTCCCCACCCCAGGCCTGGCCACGCCCACTCTACCCTCTGTTTCTGGGAGCTCAGCTTCAGCGTGTCTTCATTCTGATGGGGTGTTACAAAGGAGAACTGCCTCATATTTACGTCCAGCCATGTGTTTAATGTTTCAGCTTTTAACTTTTAAAAGTTCGTCTATAATTCTTTTCTTTTTACCATTAGGATAACCACGTGAGGTAAATCTGATATTCTTACCTTACAAATGTGGAAGTGACTCAACCCAAGTTACATAAAGTGAGGGACAAACAAGACCACATTTGGTCATCTTAGGAGGCTCAGACTTGAGGAGGGGAAGCTTTAAAATCTTCCTTTTACACTTCTATGCTATACTTCTTTTATATTTTCATAATTTGAAGAATTATAAAAATGTCATTGGTCTCCTGAACCTGACCATGTCAACCCATCAAATGGCGTATCTAATGATAACGATCTCATTTGGTGCTCATTTCCAAATATGTCAAAGCCATTCAGCAATTACATGGTGTGTGCCCATCTTTCCTAGGGCTGAGGAGACAGTGATGGAGGGAGCACGGCATCTGTTGGTGGAGCACGCAGTCTGGATGTGTGGATGGACACCTGAACAAGCTCTGTTTTATTCAGCGTGAAAAGTACTGTAATAATAGCGAGCTGCGCATAGTAGAAACACCGCTGAGGGAGGACTGAGCCAGGGGGCGAGATTGAGCGGGGCCTGAAGGAAGTGAAGGAGCCTGTCAAGCAGAGACCAGGGCTGCGGCAGGAGCTTCTCACGCGGGTCCAGAGGGTGCGAGGTGGAGACAGCTCAATGGCTAGAGAATGATGGGGGGGGGTGGGGCGGGGAGGTTGGGGAGATTGAGGAGGGGGATGGTTTTAAAGAGCCTTCCATGCATGTGAGGGAGGTTGGCCTTTCCCCCATATATCCGAGGTTCCCAGATTTTGGCATTTCTTTTATCACCAAAAAAATTAATAGAAAGCTGACATAAGATTATTGAATTTTTTTTTTTAGATAGTAAAAAACCACACTACTATCTTCTGTATTTTAACATTAATTTCTACAAGCAAAAACACCAAAAATGTAGGAGAGTCATAATTTTCTGCTAAAAAAGTTGAATACATTTAGCTTTATGAAAAACAGCATATTCTCCATTTTTCACTAATTTCATCAAGACAGAGCTGGGAGCCCTCCTATACATCATACTTCTTAAACTGTAATGAGAATATGCGACTTGCCTAAGGATCTTATCAGAATACAGATTCCAATTCTGGGTAGGGCCTAGATTTTATGGTTCTAGAAATTTCTAGATCAGGTTCTTGCTGCTGGAGTCTAAACCAAAGTTTAGTTTACATAGTAAGAAATCAGAAGATTGATTTGCTAGCATTTGTATTTTAAAGAATTAACCAGGAAGCCATGTGCAAAATTGGTTGCAAATGAATTGCTACTGCAGTCAACCACACAACACAAATTCTGCAGATCTGCGTCCTGTGGGTTGTGGCAGATGACTTTAACTTCACTTTTTCTGGTCCTCTGACGCATGGCAGCAATTACTCAAATGGCAAGGGGACCTCAAAGGTTCACAAGAAAGTCATTCTTTAAATTTACTCTGTGTATCTCCTTCTGACTCAACACTCAGTCTTATTACAGAAACGGAATGTTTGTGGAATTCTTATAAGTTCTATGTTTCAAGAACAGAATATCTACCGCCCAAAATAAAATGACTTGAAAATAGTGTCAGTCAAACCAGCACTGGCAGATCTGTATCAGCTTTCCTCTGGGACTCGAGGGAAGGCCGAGTTCCCCTCTGGCAACAGCTTGTTCCAGGTGAGGCTCATGAGAAGTTACCCCCAAAGCAGATGCTCTTGAACAGTGGTTCTCAACCTTCTGGCCCTTTAAGCACAGTTCCTCATGTTGTGACTCAACCATAAAATTATTTTCGTTGCTACTTCATAACTGTAATGTTGCTACTGTTATGAATTGTAATGTAAATATCTGATATGCAGGATGGTCTTAGGCGACCCCTGTGAAAGGGTCGTTTGACCGCCAAAGGGGTCGCGACCCACAGGTTGAGAACCGCTGCTCTTGAAGCTTCTGTTACCATCACAGACAAGCTGTTCTTATTTTATAGAAAAACAAATATTATCACTCTCACAGGGATTGATTAGTAAACATTCATAAAGGGGATGAAAAGTTTAAAAACGTGCTGTTTAAAATAATTGCTATTTTTATTACATCGGAAGCCTAAGTCATAGGGAGCAACAGCAGATGAATCTTACAAATCTCGGGAAGGCTGCTGGAACCCAGGACAGAAAGCGGCAAAATGGATCAGCGAGGGTCAGGCGTAACTTGAAAGAAGCTCTGCATTCAGAGATGGAGCTCTTTCCGCGATGGACCGGGTGACCCACAGAACGCCTGCGGCGACTGCCCCCACAAAGCCTGTTTGCACACCAGCCCGGAGGACTCGCAGCGTTAAAGGGGCCTTACATCCTCTGGCCTTGTCTGTCGGGGCATCCAGTCCCCTGATTCCTGCCGGCCAAGGCCCCTCACGTAGTCCCTTCCTCGCTGGCTGCCTCCCGACCACTGGAGAACTCGTTGGCTCTTTTTGTAACAGGTCAGTCTTGGGCACCTTATGAGCAAATCCAGCTTCAATTCCAAAATGCAGTGTAGGTGTTACACACAGTTCAAAGCTGGAAAATATCAATGAGGCTATCGTACCTACTAAAATCTAGGCTGGTGAAAGAAGCAGGGGGAGAATAAATAGGGATGTGTGTATCTCTTTAAAATTCAGAAACATCTATGAGCATTGGACTGAGGTCCTAAAATACACCTTAGAACACACACACAAATACCAGCAATTAATTTATCAAGTATCTGAGCTCTCTCTGAGCCCCTCACATGAGCAGCCTTTAAGTGGGGCCATAAAGCCCAGTGCACTTACAAATTATCCTCTGTGATGCAGGGAGAATACTGAAATCTCCTTTTATATTTATTTGTCCAAAAATAAGATACATTAAGCTTTATGAATATTTAATGCTTTAATTTACTTTAGTACATGCATTCTCTCTCTCTCTCTCTCTCTCTCTCTCTCTCTCTCTCTCTCCCTTCCTTTCTGAGTCTCTCCTTGGATTGATGGATGGAAGGATAGATAAATGTACTCAATATTTTTTACAGCTAATATTGTGGGATAAAAAAACCAAAGTTGGAAATCTCTGGTCTAAAATATTAGGACATCCCTAGCCGGTTTGGCTCAGTGGGTAGAGCATCGGCCTGTGGACCAAAGGGTCCTGGGTGCAATTCTGATTAAGGGCACGTAACTCTGTTGTAGATGTGTGCAGGAGGCAAACAATCGGTGTGTTTCTCTCACATCGATATTTCTCTCTGCCTTTCACTCTCTTTAAAAAAATCAATGGAAAAATATCCTCGGGTGAGGATTGAAAAAAAAATCTTCATTAAAAATAAATCTATACTAATAAAAGCCTAGGTGGTCCTCGCACGCTCGCGCATGACATCATCACAAGATGGCCACCACAGGATGGCCACCACAGGATGGCCACCACAGGATGGCCACGTGCACAGCAGAGGTGGGGCCCAGCGGCTGCTCTGTGCTGTGAGGTCTGGGGGTCCCGCAGCTCCATGCGGCACAGAGGAGGCCAGTCCTGGTGTCTCCGCCACCTTGCACGGAGGAGGCAGGTCCTGGCGGAGGAGGCGGGTCGTCGCAGGGGAGGGCAATTGTAGGTGATCAGGCCGGCAGGGGAGCGGTTAGGGGGCAATCAGGCTGGCAGGCAGAAGGAGTTTGGGGCAATCAGGCATGCAGGCAGGTGAGCAGTTAGGAGCTAGTGGTCCTGGATTGTGAGAGGGATGTCTGACTGCCGGTTTAGGCCCGATCCCACAGTCGGACATCCCCGGAGGGGTCCCAGATTGGAGAGGGTGCAGGCCGGGCTGAGGGACCACCCTTCCCTTGCTCCCTTCCCTTGCCCCCCCATGGCCGGAAGCCTCCTCACGGGACCTGGGCTCCAGGGAGCAGGGCCGCACAGCGGCACCACGTGGCGGCTTCGCTGTTGGAACCGGGACCTGCCAGCTCTGGTTCACAGGGGGCGCAGCAGGGAGACTGCACTACAGCCCTGCTGTGCGCACTCGCACTGTGTGGTGGTTCCCAGGGAACCTGCCAGCAGCCCCTCAGAGTTGCCGCCCGCAGTTTGGAATTCAGAGGGGAGAGGAGCTAAGCCTGCAAAATGAGTATCGACAACATGCCGAGGCCTTGAGTTCCATGCAAGGGAGCCGCCGCGGATACTTGTTAGCCAGAGGGTCCGCTGGCTGCGGGCTTTGGGGAGCTGTCAGCGCGGGGCATGGCGGTAGGGGGAGAGCTGGGCGTGCGCCGCTCAGCAGCCCAAACCAGCGGTTCTCAACCTGTGGGTCGCGACCCCTGAAAATACATCCTGCATATCAGATATTTACATTATGATTCATAATAGTAGCAAAATTACAGTTATGAAGTAGCAACGAAAATAATGTTATGGTTGGGGGTCACCACAACATGAGGAACTGTATTAAAGGGCCGTGGCATTAGGAAGGCTGAGAACTGCTGGAACCAATGGGACAAAGCGCTGACTGTGGCTTTTCCTTTCTGAGTTCAGCCTTTTCAAGCGCTGCTGGTTCGGCTGCAGGACAGAGTGCACTGTGGGGGGTGGAGGGGGGAGCACGGCTTCTGAAGCTGCTGCCGGCTCTCCCACCCGCCAGGCCTGGGAGTGCGGGCAGATGTGATGGTTCATTTTATGTATGAACCTGCCTGGCCGCAGGGCGCCCTGATTAAACACGGCTCGGGGTGTCTGTGAGGGTGTTTCCAAGGAGGTAACCCTGGAATCAGCAGACTGCATCTCACCGCAGCCCCTCCTGCCCTGCCTGGGGTCACACCCTTGCAGCCCAGTTCTCAGGCCTCAGGCTCGCACTGCCTGGCGGACGGCTGGGCTCTCCTGGGTCTGCAGCTGGCAGACGGACAAGCAATTCCCCAGGAGGAATCTGGCCTCCCTCGCTCTAGGGCAGTGGTTCTCAACCTTCCTAATGCCGCGACCCTTTAATACAGTTCCTCATGTTGTGGTGACCCCCAATTTCATTGTTACAAATTGAACATAATTAAAGCATAGTGATTAATCACAAAAACAATATGTAATTATATATGTGTTTTCCGATGGTCTTAGGCGACCCCTGTGAAAGGTTCGTTCGACCCCCAAAGGGGTCGCGACCCACAGGTTGAGAACCTCTGCTCTAGGGAGACGGATGGATGGATAGGTACACAGGTGTAGGCATACCCAAAGCGATGTGGGTATCCTCCTATCCTGCAGGTTCCATTTCTCTGAAGAACCCCAACACCGCAGGGCCCCCTCACGTTTCCACCAGGAACTGTGCGAAGGGCCACTGCTGGGACCCAGGAAGGGCTCCGAGGGCACAGGTGGCGTTCGTGGCGCCATGAGAAGCCAGAGGCCGGCGCATCCATGCCGTGTGCTCACTGCAGTCCTGCCTGGGGCGGCGGCCGAGGAAAGCCCGGTGCTGCCCACCAGTGCCTGCTGGAGCTTTGAGGGCGCAAGGCACACGGAGCTCTTGCCACAGCACACTCACACTCACGAAGGACCCGCCGGTAGAATCCTTATTTTGCTTTCATCATGGGTACATATCTCCACATTTTTAAGGCAGAGTTCAATCTCTGGTACTCTACTCATGCATTTAGGCGTCAGAGAACTTGGCAAAATGTTAGGCTGTGATAAAAAAAAGTAAGTCCTAGTGACG